CTGGGGGGGGGAAGGGGGAGACAGGAAAAGGAAGGGAAATATTTAATGAAAAAAATGTTCCCAAGGATCCTTAATACTTCTTAACCCTTCTGAGAAAAAAATTATCCATCAAATCAGTAGCATGCAGCAAGAACAGACCTGAGGAAAGGGAGTTAAACCAACAGTTACATTTATTTTATTCATCTTTCCTAAACGTTAGACAATTTGCATCGTCTAAGCGTCTGGATCTTCAGAGAAAAGCAAGGCCTTGGCAATGATGAGTAAGAAGAGAGGGCAGACTGCTAAACAGAACAGAAAAGTTCCTCACTTTCTATTCCAGGTTACACTAGAGACAAACTAACAAAGGATGATGCAGAATTAATTAAATCCAAGCCTAAATGGAATTAGTTTTCATGCTTACAAGCTGTACTTTAGCAGCTCTGAACAACATTTTCATCACGATTCCTGAGACTTGATAAATGATGCAGTATTCCCCAGGGAAACAATACATAGATATATTGCTTCTTTCCCTGAAGGAACTCAGGAAGATGGCTCCAATCAAGGTAGGGATTCATAAATAAATGCCTTCAGACTCAAGCTCAGCACAGAAATTTAATATAAATGAGACCACCCACTGTCCCAGTGCCTTCAGCATTGGTGGGATGGGTCCTTCTGGAAGTGCCATCTGGAGATGATAAAAAAAAAAAAACCAAGGTCTTCACTAATTATGGCCAAGATTCCTTGGCACTTCATGCCAGGGCAAGGATATTAACCCAGATGGCCTAACCGATTCGAGCTTGGATAATGACAGACTTTCCAAGCGAAAAATGCTTCCCTCTGATTCAGCAACTCCAATGTGAAGTACTCTTCTGAGACTCCTATTACTGTTGCTGTTCAGCCATGGCTGACTCTCTCTGACCCTGGGAACCACACTGGCCATGGGGTTTTCTTGGCAAGGATACTGCAGTGGTTTGCCATTTTCTTCTCCAGTGGATTAAGGCAAACCGAGGCAAGAGACTTGCCCAGGGTCACACAGCTAATAAGGGTCTGAGGCCATATTTGAACTTGGGTCTTCTAACTCCAGATCCAGCACTCTATCTTCCTGAGCCACCTAGCTGCCTTCTTGAGATTCCTGTGTGGTACCACTAATACATATTCTTCTTGAAAGCACACCAGAATTCAGCGCTTCTGATTCACAACTTTGAAAGCTCACCTTAATGAAGAAAACCCAACTTTTATTTTAAGAGTTTAAGCATATGACATTATAAAACTGCCTAAACGTGTAAAGAAATTATAGTTAGAAATAATCTCACATTAATACAGCACTTCAAGGTTTACAAATCTCTTATCCCACAACAATCTTACAAAGGTAGGTAATGTAACTATTATCACTTCTACAGATGAGAAAAAAAAAACCATCTCAGGGAGGTTCAGAGTCTTCCCTATCATCACACATAGAGATCTGAAATGTCAGAACCAAAACTCAAGCCAGGTCTCATGATTCCCAAGCCCAGTACTCTTCCCACTCACTCCACCATGCTGCTTGCTTCCTATTACTGACTAGGATATAGTTTCATTCCAAATGTTCATTTGTAGGTATTTGCCTCAAGGTAAAGAGGAAAATGTAGTCTCAGTCAACAAGTGAGAGTAGAACTTCAAAAAAGTATATCTAAGCAAATTACATTTACAAGGATTTACAAGGGTGGAAGCAGAGATCCTGATGCATACAAATGGGAACTTGATTAACAAGTCTCTAGCAATTCAACTACCTTAGTAATCAACCCATTTTCTGATACTTTCTCCTAATAAAAGCTCAAACTCTTGCGATTTGACTTCACCTATTCAACAGCATTAGTCTAACCGAAAATCTTTCAATCTATTTCTTTTTTTTTCACTCTATTCCTAAGGAAACCAATAAGAGTCTGCTGTGCAGTAAAAATCTCCCAGTCTCTCCCATTCCTCACAAGGAGTCTATCCCCAAGATAAAGGGAAGACTGCCAGTAAACTCTCCTGAAGATGTAAGTTAATTTGCCTAGATGACTCTCATTTACTTCTAAAATCCCATCTAGGGCTCTGAGAGGCCATGAGAGTAAAGAATAGGTAGGTAGGAGAATGAGTGAAGAACTTTTGGATTGTTTCCTCCAGTTACTGAAAAATACAGATTCCATGAGCACATAGCCTGAAACATAAAAGGAGACTATAAGCTTTTTTAAAATTATGCTTTTTTGGGGGGTAAGGGAGGGAAGATTGATATAATTCATAAAACTGAAAGGGACCTTATTGATCAATTAGTCCAAGTCCTGTATTTTCAATTGGACCGTAGAGAATTAAAGTGACTTGCCCATAATTAAGCAGTGTGACCTTAGTAGAGCCAGTTTTCCTGAACTACCTTAAACAGTGGGCTTAGTTTGCATTAAAACACACACACACACACACACCCCTTGAAAAAGAGCACCAGACAAGAAAAAAGTCAAGAATACGATCTAATCCCTAGTAGATTTATTTATATGGAGTCAGGAAGACTCAACTTCCTGAGTTCAAATCTGGCTTTGGACACTCACTAGCTATGTATGACCCTAGGCAAGTCACTCAACCCTGTTTGTCTCAGTTTCCTTATCTGTAAAATAAGCTAGAGAAGGAAATGACAAACCACTCCAGTATCTTTGCCAATAAAACCCCAAATGGGGTCACAAAGAGCTGGACATGACAGAACAACAACAAAGCCCTTTGTGACATTGAAACATTTCATAAAATCAAAGATTTAGAGCTGGAAGAGTCCTTGAAGGTTATCTAGTGAACAGCTCTCCTTTATTTTACAAAAAAAAAAAGTCACTGAGACCCAGAGAAGTTAGATGATTTGCACAAGGTCACACAGTATGTAAACAGCAAAGTCAGGGTTCAAATCTACATCCTGTGATTCCAAATCCAGCTCTTAATAACCACTATAAAAACCCTGCCTCAGCTTTTGTTGTCATTCTGCAATAAATTCCCCTTACCCAGAGGGGTTAAAGCAGAGTAGGTAGACATGTATCTAGGCATTGAAATTAAATCGTTTCTGAGATCCCTTCCAATTCTAAAATTCTATGACCTATTTTCCTGGTCAATGACTTTTTTCTGCAATTCTCAAAGACCCACTTACTAAACAAGGGAAGGAAGTACCTATACTAACAAAAATCACAGATCTTTGAAGTAATGTATAGTAGCAAACCCTTTTAAAATAGCCTGAGTAATACTAGGTACTATTTTTTTAATTGCTGAGACAAGAACTTATCTGTGTCCTTCCCCACAGGGAAGCCAAGGGAAGGTGGTGGCAGGCTAACCCTAAGGAGGCACCAGTGAATTTACTAATTGGGTGGGGAGGGGAACAATGAGCTAAAGGGAGCACTATCAGACACCATAGTTCCCATGATATATTTAAAAATAAAGAACTCACAACTAAAATTACTATTCAAAAAAGGGACAGCTGAAGAACTAACTTGGTTGCAATGGAAACAGAGGGACAAAATTGTTACTCATTTTTTATAACAAATACTAGGCCCATTTTCAATCAACCAATTAAAATTTACTGAATGCCTACTGAGCCGGCCACTGGACTAGAAGCTAAAGTGGTACAAGGTGATAGAAGACAAGATTCTTTCCACCTCTCCAATCAAACAGATTACAGTCTACTTTGAGAAAAAAAGACACATGAAAGGATAGCAATACCAGAATACAAAAACACCATCTGAATGAAAGAAATCTCAGAGGTTCATCTTTAAATCCCATTCACTCCCTATAACAGAAAAAAAAAAAGAGAGGGCCTTTTTTTTTTTTAATGACTCTAGGACCAAGGAAGTTCTGGCCAATTGCTACGAGGCTAAAAGCTATTTGACAGCATTCATCACTACACACAGCCCATCAAAAAAAAAAAAGTGCTCGAAATCTGATGTAGGAACTGCAGTTTATCCCTTGGACAGATTTCCTGCTCCTAGTTCCACTGTCCTTTCCTACCCTGGTGAACCGGGCTGAGCAACCTAGAAAGAAAACTGACGCTTCTCTCGAGCCCGCAAAATTAAGTCCTTAACAGTCACTTCCTCCCCTCTGGGCCTAAACTGAGCTCCACTCGTTTCGGAAGCTAAAGGCCCCGGGGTCAAAAAGGTAGGCTCTCAACATCTCAGAGTCTTTACCTAAAGAAGCCTTTTTTGCGGGGGGGGGGGACGGGGGACGGGGCGAACCACCAGGGAAAACAAGGTTTCCAGACTGAGAAGCCCTAGCAGAACCTCCTCCTCTGCTTCCCTCCCCCAACAAGAGCGCAAACCCAAGTTGTGATTCTTGGAGTACACAGCGGGTCCTGGCATCTGCTGTTTCATTCCTACACTCCAGAGAGGTGGCCTACGAAGGAGGCTGGACTATGGCCAGACAGACGGGAGTGATGCAGGATCCGAACCACAGAACAGGTCACTCTGAGTTGACTCCCAAAACAAAGTCAGATTTTTTTTGGTGGGGGGGGAGACAGGGGAGGCTAAGACTCATTTTTAAATGCCATCTGAACCAACGTCATCAGTCTCTTCCCGGCCTGACGCCCCGCTGGGGTGGAAGGTTCGGATTACTGGGCACCCGGGCTATTTTCGAGAACCAGAGAAATGAGAAGTGACCCGAGGCCCCGAGGTCAACCGGCTCAGGTCCCCGCCCCCTGCCCACAAAAGCCGAAAGGGCCCGGGGAGGGGGCGGGGGCACCGGCTCAAGGCCACGGCCGCCGCCGGAGCCAAGGAGCTGAGTAATCCTCAGGTGACTCGGGCCCGCCCCAAGGGGCCGCGGGGTCAACAGCCCGCTGGGGCCGGATCCCCCCCCCCGGGCAGAGCCGGGCCCGCCCCCCCACACACACACACGGGGTCACCCCGCGGGGCCGGGGCCGGGCTCTGGCCCGGGAGGCCCGCAGCCGCCCCGCAGCCGCCCGCAGCCGGCCCGCCTCCATCTTGAGGCGGCAGCGGAGGGAGAAGGACGAGGCCCCGGCGCCGGGAGCGTGGAGGGAGGGGGCGAGGATGGGGCCTCGCTGCGGCGGCCTCGCCCGGAGGCCCGAGAAGGGGAGGGGACGGGGACGACGACGGGGAGGAGGAAGGAAGGAGGCCGCGGAGCCGCCGCCGGGCTCACCGGGACCGGACGCGCCGGGTCGAGATGGGTCCTCGCCGCCGCCACCTGTCGGGCCGAGCTCTCCTGCCGCCGCCGCCGCCGCCGGGCCTCCCTCCCTCCCAGACTCAAGCGCTGCCTCAGCCCCGGCCCCGCTCGGCCGGTCGGTCAGTCAGTCAGTCACTGCAGCAGCAGCAGCAGCAGCAGCAGCCGCCGCCTCCGCGCGCCTCCAGCCGAGTCTCAGGTCCTGCGGGGCGAGGGACCGAGAGGGGGAGCGTGACGTGAGGCCCCGCCCTCTTAAAGGGGCCACGGCCGCCCTCCGAGCGCCTGCCTGGCGGGGCGTGTGGCGGGCTGCTGGGTGTGGGTCCGTCGGTCTTTGTGTGGGCGTCTGTATATCCAAGTGCTTGTCTGGGTGGGTGTCTGTGTGTCTGTGTATCTTTCTGGCCGTGGGTCTGTATCTGTGCTTGGGTGTGTGGCTGTGTCTGAGCATCCTGTGTCTGTCTGTGTGTCTGGGCATCCTGTGTCGATGAGTCTGTCTTTATGTGGTTGTCTGTATATCTGGCAGTGCTTGTGTACCTCTCTGGTTGGCTGAGTCTGGCTAGCTGTGTATGTGTGTGCCTGCGTATCTGTCTGTCTGTGAGTCTATACGTGGCTGTGGTTGTGCATATATGTGTGTCAGTATGCATCTGGGCATCCTGTGCCGATGTGTCTGGCTTTCTGTGAGTGTCTGTGTATCAGTGTCTGTGTATCTGTGCCTATGTATCTCTTGTCTGGTTGTGGCTGAGCATTTGTGTCTATGTGTATATGTGTCTATCTTTCTGTCTATGAATTTGTGCCTGTGTCTCTTTCCTTCCTTCTCACCAGCCAACCAGACAGGCTTCTTCTTTATCCACCTTGCCCTTGCTGCCTGCCTTCTGATCCCCTTTTCTTCCGTCTCTCCTTCCCTCCCCCGGGCACCTCACATCCTTTCTCACCCTCACTCCTCCAGCCCCTTTCTCAGTCTTGTTCTACCTGCTTCCTCAGTCTCATTCTTGTAAGTCAGTCTGGAACTACTCAGTCTATCTGTTTCTTATTTCCGTCTCTATCTTCTTTCTGTCTCTGTTTCTCTCTGCTTCTATTTTTGTCTCTGTGTGTCTCTTCTGTTTTCTTATCTTTGTTTCTATACTTCTTTCCTCCTGTATCTCCAAATCTATTTTTCTCTCTCTCTCTGTTTTCTTTTGATTCCCTTAACTCTTTTCCCTTTTGTCCCTAGTACCCTTCTCTCTCTCCTGTCTCCCCTGCTCTCTTCTCTCCCTCCTTTCTCCCCAGCTTCCTTTTCTGTCTCTCTAACAGCCTTCATTCCTCCTATCTCCCCAGATCCCTTTCTCTTAATCCTCGTCAGACCTTTTCCCCTTCTCTCTTGTATTCTCTCTTTTAAGTACTTGCACTCTCTCTCTCTCCTCTCTCTCTCTCTCTCTCTCTCTCTCTCTCTCTCTCTCTCTCCCCCTCCCTCTCCCTCCCCTCCCCCTACTCTTTACCCTTGCTTTCTCAAGCCCCCTTCCTCCATCTCTCTTCTTTCTAGCCCTTTTCTTTCTTTTTCCACACTCCCCTCCCCCATATCACTCCCCAACCCCTTTTTTCACTCTCTCCCTTTCTTCCCTTCCCTGCTTCTCCTGGGTCTTTGTTTGCACACACATATACCATGGTTTCTACAGCAAGTAGCTGTCCTTACCACTTCAATATATCCCTTGCAGAGCCAAAATGCTGTGTCCTGGGGATATGATAACAGACTTTTAATGGAGGCAGAATGGGAAGGTGAGCGAATCAGACTCCAAGACAACCAGGCCTGGAGCCTACAATTGAGGGGATCTATATGATTATATCTCATATTCTTTTCCAGGGCTCTCCAATCACAGTAGGAATTAGTCAAGAGGAATCAACCAGCTCAGCACTGTTAAAAAGGAGCTACCCAGCTTCTTTTCAGACTGAGGTTGAATCCTTCTTACCCTTCCGGGACCATCAGAAAAGGCAGAGGAGGAGAAATCCCTTGAAACAAGCCCAGAGACTTACCCTGTTGATTTCAGAAAAGCCTCTTTTATCAGTGTCAGCCACTTGGACTGAAGCCCTGCTTAATATCCTTCCTTCCCTCTCTCCCTACGGGGCCTCCCTTGAAAGCCTTTGAAAGTGACAAGAGGGGAGGGAAGAAAACCCTCAGCCACAGCCTGGCTCAGAGCTGGAGCCACAGAAGGCAACCGGCATTACACTCCCATAGACCATGGCGATACCACCAGCTTCCCCGTTTCTGGGAGGAATTTGCAGCTGTCAGCAAGCACCCAGGATTTGCAACTCTCAAGTGGTGGATAAGGGGAGCCTCCTGCTTCATCCTGTGCCCCAGGATGAAGGAATAATCAGGAAGGTGACCCTTCTTAAAGCACTGGGACTGCTCCCACCAATTAGAGTCTGCTAGCGTAAGACTAATAAAGACAAAATGGGCAGATAGATGTGGGAATGCTTTGGAAATTCATGAATTTAGAAACAGGGTGTAGCAACTTCTTCATTTGCTGCCCTTTCTCCCCACTGTTCATCTTTATGAGATCATGTGTTTCCTAAGATAATTCCACTCCTTAAGAATTCATCTTATGCAGTGATGTTAATTCATCTTCCTCAGAAGTGACAGAATTAAAGTGATACCCCAAGTAAAGGGGGTATTTAGAAATCAGGCTACCTAAATTGTTCTAAATTCCTTGTGTCATCTCCTAAGATAGTCCTCCCCCTCTTCCAGTTTCCCCCCATCCCAGCACACACACACACACACACACACACACACACACACACACACACATCCTTCCTTTCTAACTTGTAGGCAGGCGATGACACAAATGTTAGTGTCATTCTATCACACTCTGCTACAATCACTGAATCTTAGAACTAGAAGAAAAGTTAGAAACCATCCAGTCCAACCCAGACCTGAGCAAGAATCTTCTTTATTAACAAGTTGTCAACCAGCCTTCATCTGAGGACCTGCAGTAAGTGGGAACCTACCAGCTCCCAAAGCAGCTCATTCCACTTTTAGAAAGCTCTCATTATTGGGAAGTTTTTTTTCCTGACACCTGCTAGAAATCTGCCTCTCTGAAGCTTCCACTCATGGGTCATAGTTCTGGCTCTTAGGACAAACAGAACAAATCAAAGCCCTATTCCAAAGGACAGGCCTTCAAATACTTGAAAGCAATGACCATTTTCTCCTCGCCAGACTAAACATCCTAAGTCCTCCTACTGAACCTCAGAAGTCATGGCCTTGAGGCACTTGAGCACCCCAGTTACCCCATTCTGGACACTCTCCACTTGTTCCTGTCTTTCCTAAAATTAAACTGAATACCATATTGCACAGGCAGTCTGAGCAAGTCAGAGTCCAGTGGAATAACATTAGCTTCATTCCAGACAGTGCAGCTCTCTTAATGAAGCCAAAGATTGCCTTTGGGGAATGCCAAGTCATACTCAAACACCTTATTCTCTTCATTTCTCCATTCCTTTTTTTTTTTCAACTCTTCTGTTCTTTTCTCCTACCTCTGACTTGGATTCTAAGCTCCTTGAAGGCAGGGTCAGTCTTTTGCCTCTTTCTGTATCTGCAACCTAGCATAGAGGAGGCACTTAATAAATGTTTATTGATTGATTTCCCAATTATATTTTTTTAAATAAGTTTTCATTGATATTTTCTTTTTCTTACATCACCAGAATATCTCATGTATCCCTCCTTCTCCCTTCTCAGAGAACCATCCCATATGACAAGTATGTTTTGGAGAGGTAAAAAAATCAGCAGAACTGATTGAACATTGAAAAAGTCCAAAACCATATGCAATACGTAACACCTGTAGTCAGCCCAACTCCACCAAGGGGTGAATTTGAGGTGTCTTATCATATCTCTTAATTCTGAGTCCTTTTTAATCTTTGTAACATTGTTACATTTACTTTCCAGTTTGGGGCATGTCATTGTTCTTTCATATTCATTGCTGTAGTTGAGTGTAAATTGTTTCCTTAGCACTGCTTACTTCATTCTGCATCAGTTCATATAGCTCTTGCCATGAATCTCTGTATTCATCATACATGTCATTTCTTACAGCACAGTAAGATTCTATTACATGCATAGGCCACAATTTTGTTTTAGCATTCCCCAGTAGATTGGCATTTTTTTTGTTTTCAATTCTTAGCTATCATAAAAAGCGCTACTATAAATAGTTTGGAATCTATATGATTTTTTTTTTAACAGTGGCTTCCTTGGGGTATAAATCTGGTAATGGAGTCTCTGGTTTGAAGGGTATAGATATTTTAGTCACTTTATTTGCATAATTCCAAATTGCTTTCCAAAACCATTATGCCATATCACAATTCCATCAAAAATTTATTAATGTGCCTATTCTTCACAAGCATTCCACCACTGACTATTTCCATAATAATTGTTGGAGGGGATGTGTGAAAATTGGGACACTGATGCACTGTTGGTGGAACTGTGAAATGATTCAACCATTCTGGAGAGCTATTTGGACCTGTGCCAAAAAAAACTGAGCATACCCTATGATCCAGCAATACCACTACTAGGTCTGGATCCCAAAGAGATCATGAAAAGCAGGGGGCAGGGGGAACCTCCATGTACAACAATATTTATAGCAACTCTTTTTGTGGTAGAAAATAATTGGAAATTGAGGGGATGCCCATCAATCAGGGAATGGCTGAACAAGTTGTGGTATGTGGTTGTAATGGAATACTATTGTGCTATAAGAAATGACAAGCAGGATGATTTCAGAAATACCTGGAAAGATTTACATGAAATAATGCAAAGTAAAGTAAGCAGAACCAGGAGAACATAATACACAGTAACAACAAGAATACATGATGATCAACTGTGAGTAATTTAGTTCTTCTCAGCAATACAATGATCTAAGACAGTTCCGAAGGACTCGTGATGAAAAATGCTATCCACCTTCAGAGAAAGAACTGATGGGGTCCAAATGCAGATCAATACATACTAATTAACACTTTATTTTGTGGGGTTTTTGTCTATATTTTCTTTTACAACATGAGTAATATGTAGATATGTTTTGCACGATTGCACATATATGACCTATATCAAATTGCTTACCATCTAGGGGGAGAAAGGGAGAGAATTTGGAACTCAAAATTTTAAAAAAGAATGTTAAAAATTGTTTTTACATGTAATTGGTAAAAATAAAATATTATTTTAAAAAACCCACCATTTCCCAATTACATTTTATATGGTTCTGGCTGCAGAGGCAGTATGACCCCTCTGGCTTAGAGCACTGAAATGTTAAGTAACTTGCCCAGGGTCTCATAGACAATGCGTATCAAACTCGGACCTTCCCAGCTTCAAGACTGGTTTACTATATCAAATTTCCTCTGATTATGAGAGGACTGAAAAGGGGAAGATGAAGTTGTGAGATATACATGTCTAAATTTGGCAGCTTCCTGAAGGACAGCATGATGATTCTGCTTGCCTGTGGAGGGATGTGATTCCCAATCATTTGCACCCCAAAGAAAGACTACTCGGGTGATATTGTTCTCTCCTTGGTTGAGCTGAAATTTCATCTTGCTCCCAGGCTGATGAGCCCATTTGCTCTTATGTATACCATTGTCTACCCTAGTCTATATAACATCCTTGGTTTCTGTTTAACGGCTTGCTTGAATAAATATACTTGCTCACTATTCATGATTGTCTTTTGTTTAATAAATGTTTTGCTGGAAGGGAGCTAAGCTGGCTAACAGTAAACTATTATCTTCCCCTTGGACTTGAAAAAGTAAAGTGGCTTTTATCCTGAACCCCTAAAAAGTATTATACCCCAGACTACAAATACCTCATGTATAGTGAACAGATACGATTCTAACCAAATAACACTCTTGAAGATAGAAGTATGAAGAAGGAAGTGCCTGGCCACAGCCTTCTTCCTACTTCACCAAAAGCAGGAAATCACTTTCCCTTGGACCTGTGAAATGGAGCAATCCAGACCATAGATCTTGTCTCTCTAAATGTATCTCAGCAGCTTGGGCAACCCAAGTCCCTATGGTCAGGGCTTATACTATTGCAAAGAGAAAATACTACAGAGTATATAAAAGCCAGAATTCTACAAGATTCCTAAACCAGAAGTTTTCAATATGGTATCTAAAAGAGCAGTGAGAAAATTATTGAATCATTTTCATTCCTGAAAGTTGGTGGTAAGAATTTTGAGTTTTCATTTCATGTGATACTGAATGATTAAATCAATCAATATAAAGAATAACTCAATCTAACAAACATTTGTTAAGTGCTGGGTTCCAGATAATAGATGACACTCACACTTTCCCAGTTATCAATGGAGTGAAATAAGGCTGTGTGCTTTTTAGCATGATGTTTTCAGCACAGGTGTCAAATGCCTTCAGTGAGGCTGAAAACAGCGTCAAGGTCAACTATGACACTGAGGGTAAATTATTTAACTTGAAAAATCTACAAGCCAAGACTAAAGTGGAGGGAGAGTTGGTACATGAGTTTTTTGTTCACAGATGATTGTGCACTCAGTGCAACCTCTGAGACTGAGATGCATCAAAGTATGGATCTATTCTCTGCTGCTTGTGCTAATCCCGACCTAACAACACCAAAGACTCAACTAAAAAGTTAGTTGAAACAATTAATAATTTTAGCAAAGTAGCAGGATATAAAGTAAATCCACATAAATCATCAGCATTCCTATATGTCACAAACAAAACTATGCAAGAAGAGAGAGTAAAAGGCATCCCATTTAAAATAAATCTAGACAGTATAAAACACCTGGGAGTACACCTGCCAAAACAAACCCAGGAACTATGTAAACAAAAGTATTTTTTAAAAAACTTTTTATACAAATAAAACCAGATTTAAATAATTGGAGAAATATTAATTGTTCATGGGTTGGCAGGGCCAATACAATAAAAATGACAATTTTACCTAAACTAATTTATATATTCAATGCCATCCCAATTAAATTACCAAAAAAAATTATTTTACTGAATTAGAAAAAAATAATAACAAGAATATCAAAGACAATAAGAAAAACAATGAAAAGGAAGGAGGTTTAGCAGTATCAGCTCTTAAACTATATTATCAAAACTAGTACTGGCTAAGAAAAAGAAAGGTAGATCAATGGAATAGGGTAGATATACAATTTAAAGCAGCAAATAAACATAATAACCTTGTATCTGACAAATGTAAAGACCTAAGATTTTGGGATAAGAACTCATTATTTGGTTAAAATTGTTGGGAAAACTGGAAAACAGTACGGCAGAAACTGGGCATAGACCAATATCTTACACCATTTACCAAGATAAGGTCAAAATGGATATATGGCTTAGATATAAAGAGAGAGACTACAAGAAAATTAGAAGAACATGGAACATAGTACTTACCAGACATATGGATAGGCAAACAATTTATAAATAAAAAAGAGATAGAAAGCAAAGTTAGGTATAAAATGGATAATTTTGATTACATTAAATTAAAAAGGTTTTGTACAAATAAAACAAATGTAGCCAAGATCAGAAGGAAAGAAGAAAATGGGGGGGGGGGAATTTTATAGACAATTTATCAGATAAAAGTATCATATCAGAAATACATGAAGAACTTTGTTACATCTATAAGAATACAAGTCATTCCCCAATTGATAAATAGTCAAAGGAAATGAGCAGGCAATTTTCCAATGAAGAAATCAAAACAATCAGTCAAATGAAAAAAATGCTCTAAATCATTATTGATTAGAGAAATGCAAATTAAAACAACCTTGAGATATTTTACACCTACCAGACTGGTTAAAATGATTGAAGTGGAAAGCGACAAGTGTTGGAGGAGACATGGAAAAATTGGGACACTAATTCATTGTTGGTAGAATTGTGAACTGATCCAACCATTTTGGAGAGCAAAGAGTTAGGTAGTTTAATACCCTTTGACACAGCAATATCACTACTAGGTCTATTTTCAAAGATGATTAGGGAAAAAGGAAAAGAACCTATATGTTCTAAAATGTGTATAGCAGCTCTCTTTGTGGTGGCAAAGAACTGGAAATTGCAGGATGTCCATCAGTTGGTGAATGGCTGACCAAGTTATGGTATATGATTATGATAGAATAATACTATGCTATAAGAGATGATGAGCTCAATGATCTTAGAAAAACATGGAAAGACTTGCATGAAATAATGAAGAGCAAAATGAGCATAACCAAGAGGAACTTTATATACAGTAACAGAAATATTGTTTTAGGGGCAGCTAGGTAGCGTAGTAGATAGAGCTCCAGCCTTGGAGTCAGGACAACCTGAGTTCAAATCCAGCCTCAGATACTTGATACTTACTAGCTGTGTGACCCTGGGCAAGTCACTTAATCCCAATTGCTTAACCAAAAAACAAAACAGAAATATTGTTTTAAGAATAACTTTGAATGAATAAGTTATTCTGACTAGTATAAATACTCAGATTAACTATAAAAACCATGTAGAGAAAGACGTCATCTACATCCAAAGAAAAAACTGATAAATAGAAGTATATATAGAATAATTTTACA